AGACAGCTAGAATAAGACTAGAAAAATACTAGAAGTCATGAGGCTTGCACCCGAGTCATGCAAGACAAGGTGTTCAGATTCAGACAGGCAGATGGGGTTTTTTGTCAAATTAAAAAGAAAGCTTAAAAAAATCAACTAAACATCATGCTTTACTCTATTATGCTCTCCATAATTACACTTCAAAGGTTTGGCAAGAGAACGCTTACTTACAAAAAAATTAACCCAGAATTAATGTAATCCAGATATATCAAGATGAATAGTACGATTGAAATCTTACTCTCAGTAACTTTTACTAAGACTATGAACTGCAGCATAAATAAGAAAAGACAGTACAAGATTTAGTCAAAAGAAGTGTTCCCCTTTTTTTCAGGATGGAATTAATTACTAAGTACAATAATCAAGGCTTATATTCTAATTGTGCTTGTGAGTAATTTTATATTAGAATTTTCATTTTGGGCACTTGAAAGAACTGTGACTTTAGCAAAATCTAAAAAAACTGCCAATAAAACTGATTCTCCTAATGGATTTACACAAGTTCATCTTTACTGGACGTGATGGACCCTTGAGCAGGGGGCTTGGACAAGGTGACCTCCAGAAATCTATTCCAACCTCCACCACCCTGTGACTCTGTGACTTGTTAGCAGGACTAAGTGGCAGATGGCCAAGCTTGTCAGCTCCCTCCCCAACTCTGGGATAGCCTCCCCCAAGACAGTAGCAGGCAAAGCTCGCTGCTGAATCCCTTCTGGCAGCACCCCAGCTGGCAGGGTGGAAAAGGCCAGGCTCCAAGGAAGTTCTGGACAGTCTTCCATGGGAGTGGGGCCAAGGGGCTACCTAGCTTTCAATGTCCTGCCTCCAGCACTGGCATTTTAAGAAGAGGAAGAACAGGGCAATCACATAATGTCACTTCCCTTTAATACTCCCCCAAACTCCGACCATTTTAATCTTCGGGGTTTTCCTGAGTCTGTTGTGGTTTGCCTATTTAGGAGCCTACAATGGTTTTATTTTTGCTTTTCCAGTATTTTTTGTGGACTCATATACTATAGTGCATCCACAGCATCCTTGGCAAGGTGTTCCCCAGTTATACTGTGTAGAAGAGATACTAACTTTTCCTGGTTTTGAGCCTGGATCTCATTAGGTTAGTATGTTATTTCCCACTTCTTGTTTGGGCAGAGGCAGTGAAACTCATCTCAGTCGGCTTCTGCGCTCTGTTGAGGATTTTGTAGTCCTCTTTCATACCTACCTTACATTGCCTCTTTTCTGAGCTGAAGAGTCCTAATCTATTTAACCCATAAGGTTTTTAATTCATACTTTGGATTATCCCACATGCCCTTCTCTTGACCCTCTCCCATCCTTGTAGAGCCTGTCTGTGATGAAGAGACCAGAGGTCCACAAACAAGGTGTGGGTGAACCATGGATCATGAGCTGATGTGTGGAATTATGTTTTATGATTCATAGTGGTCACTGCTGAGCAACATCACGTTGTCCACAAATCTATGACTGGATTTCCCCATGTGCATTACTTCACACTTAACCAACACTGCATTTCACCCTGAAATGTTCATGCCATCATGCACACCTTTGAGCATGTATTCAAAAATAAATATAAATGAGAAAGAAATGAACAGGTGTATAAGAAAAAAAAATCAATCTTCAAAATGCCTAGGAAACAGAAGAGACTTTAAATTATAGAGAAATCTACAAAAAGCACAATAGCAATGGGAAATGGATTAGTTTCATTTCATAACTTGGTTTCCCCTGCCCTCTTCTAATCTTGGAAGTTATTCACACATGGCAGGTGGAAAAAAAGGGAAGAATCTTAAATCATGTCATTTTTATGTTTTGGCATTTTTTATTTCATATATACAAAAAAAAAATCCAAGCATATTCATAGATTAAATTGCTGAACAATAATAATAATAATAAACCCCCACAAAAACGAAATGCAAAACTGAACAGAAATGTATACATTCATGTCTTCTCAGTAAAATTACATTAGCTACAGAGGCAATCAAGTAAGCGTGTCGTCCAGGACCTATATTCCTCAAACCAAGGGCAATATAAACATGAAATTCTCAATAACCTCTCAAATGGCAAACTACATTTATGTGTATATATTTATATTTATACATATATATATATATATATATATATGTTGACTCACACCCACTGACCAAAGAGGGGAGAAGTTTTGCTACCTTATGGTGCCCCAGGACATGTTTCCAGTGTTAAAGAACAGTATGTTGGGCCACTTTTTATAATAATTTCTTCCCCTCCTCTCTAAAGAAAACCTCCAAAACTTCACAGTATACACCATCGGACTCACAAGATTGCAGTCATTGGGTTCATTTCTGTATTCCTTTCTTGAGGAACAGTCCCACTGACCCAAATAGGAATTTTGCCTAATCTGAGTTAACTAGGGGCTGGTTAGTAAAATGGCATGAAGAGCTTCCTGACTGAGGCATCCTGCCTGTTCCTTTTTTAGACTGTCAGAAGAGGAATGAAGGGCTATGAAGAGCTACATGAGGCTGGAGAGAAGAATGTTTTTCAGTCAGTTGTGAGCATCTCTTCTCTCCTGCAAAAGGAACAATTCAGGATTTTTCAAAATACAGCAGTTGATGTCCGAAGTGCAAAATTTTTGCCCTTTTGGCTCCATTTGGTGTCAGTTACAGTTCAGGCACATTGCAGCATATTTTAGGAGGCACTAAGCAGTCGAGGATCAAGTTCAAGATAAAACAGAGTGAATATCTGCATTAGATCTAGGAGATGCAATGGTTTTCATTGCAGAAATACTTGCATGTTTATAAAAAAAAATAAATAAAGAGAGGATGTATAACCTCCAAAAAAATTTCTGCCACAGCAAAATGCTGAAAAGAGTTTTGGTAGTGAGAAACCTGGAATTACCTGAAAGTGGATGGTAAAGGGACTTGAACAGAAATACGAAACCATTCATTGCTAATTTATCATACAGGTTTGCAAAATGTAATTAAACTGAATTTCTGCCTGATGAATGTAGAATAGGAAGAGCCATCGTTGTTTTTTCGAGGATCCTGGCACAAGCAGGCATTTTGAAGAGCGTGCTAGAGCTGACACAGGAGCTCAGAGCCCCGGACTCCCTCAGGAGCATACTCAGTGGGCCTCTCTCTTTCAGCCCAGGCGAGACGATTCACAGCAGCAGGCCCATCTCACTGCACCTCTGCAACCCGCGTGCCCGCTGCTGCTTCAGGGGAGCTTCCAGGCAGCTTCATGGGAAGGTTTGGATGGGTGATGTAACACTAAGGTTGGCCTTGTGGGCAGAAAACATGCAGATAAATTAAAGCTAACACTGAAATGCCACAAAACAGTTCAGACGGCTTTTGAAGGGTGGTGCTAGGTCCGCCCAGTTTTATCCTGCTCCAATAACTGATGATACCTTAGCAGAAGGTAGGACATAGGAATATGTCATAGGAATATTTTGTGGTTATCCAGCTTCAGCCATGAAGAAACTTGTGGTGATTAGTGGGGGCAAATTGTGGTTTAATTATGTCATTCACAAAGAAAAAAGACAGATTGTAAGGGCCTTGGGTGTTGTCTTTTGCTTAGGAGGAGGATGTCAAAACCAGTAAAGGCCTGCTTAAGGCAGACCTAGCCTGTGGTGTCCACGATGTCGAAGACAGCCTCTTGCTCAGCGCTGGACGGAGTTGCAGTGCAGCAGAAGGACGCTACAGCTCTGTCTCACTTGTGAGGGGAAACTTGTCTGGCTCTGTTAGGTGTTTTTTGGCTCTTCACTGTCGATGAGGGCGAAAGGTAGGTAAAAAGCTGTGAAGACTACAGGAAGAACTTTGCTTTTGTCTTTCCACTGCACACATTCTGTAGCAGTTGTCTTTCCAAGCCCACAGGCAGTTGTTGAGATGTGAGAAGAATTAAAACATGACACAATAATGCAAACAAGCTGGAGAAGGATATTTCAGAGAAGAGTCCCAAACACAGGACTGCACAATCAACCTGCCATAACCTATTTCCAGGCTATTTGGTACATCTCCCATTCTCAAACCTTGCTTTCTCTGCTTCTCCTTTCTGTTTTCCAAAAAAAAAAGAAGTATGTTTCTGACACTTGGCCATAGGGACAGGTTTTCCTCTAGCTTCTGCTGGCACAGAATCACTCCAGTCTGTGGTAGAATTCTCATATATCCTTCTGAAAATCTGGTTTATAATCCACACCATCGCCATAAAGAAGAAAAACTCACTGTCCGTGCACTATATAAGGCTAAATTCTCTGCTGAGGGGGACAGTGCTTCTGCATATAGCCTATAGTGAATTGGTGAAAATGACTTGTTCATACCAATCACATACAAGCAGCAGCATTATTACTGTAGTAGATCAATGTGAGAAAATCTGTTCCCCACTGCCCTGAGAAATTAATAACTTCAAGAAATGAAAGTATAATCCACTCAGCAGCTGAAGTAGTTTCAAACATTGTTAGTTCTAGCTTTCTTTTCATTGTATGAGATATTTTTCCATATAAAATTGAAATAAATAATATGACCTAACCTAACCTTTTCAAAGGTTAGTGTGGTTTGGTTCAGATGAACAGTTGGGTGACTTGTGGTGAATTCACAGTGGCTATGCATTAATGGAAAATGACAAGCTATTTTTACTTTTCTTTTTTTTTTTTTTAGAAATACAACGAGAGAGCAAGTAATACATTAAAAACAAACCAAACCAAACAAACAAAAAACTCACCATCATATTGCTTAGAAAAATAATTCCCCTACCCCAAGTCTAACTTCAGTGTATGCTCTAATTCATATACAGCAATGTTTCACATTCACTGAGAAGTACAAACCTTTGGTGAAGCACTGGGGTCATACAACCTGAAAGCAGTTTTTATTCTAAACTTGGTTTCATGCAGTAGGACTAGTTCCAGGCCAACCCCCTAATTCTGAATGTTGGGGTTGCTTCAGTGGCTTCTTGAATAAATTCAGGTCCTTTAACACTTCCATTTCTTACCAGAAAATACTGAAGTAAGATGTGCAATATGAGTATGGCTTGACTTCTGGCACTGGAGCAAGGTATTTTGAGTCATTCAAAAAGAAACACTTTCTGTGTCTACTCATGGATCTCACAGGTGCCTTTTTTTCTGTGGATGTCCAAGGCTAAAAAACACTTTCCTGCCTTTGCAAATAGACCCTTACGCCATCTAAGCCATCCATATGTCCGCTTGACATCGACCTGGCTGACATGGTCCTGCCAGAGAATAAGCTTTCCCTTCTGGTTTCCAAACTGTCGCTGAGCAGTACGTTACGGCGAAACACTTGCATGAATTTCTGGTAAAATTCTTTGGATGCAAAATAATAAATGAAGGGATCTATGCAGTTGTTGAGGCAACTGAGGCACAAGGTGAGCTTGTAGACATGATACAGACTCCTGTCATAAAACAGGCGGATGATCATATGCACAAGTAGAATAAAGTTATTGGGGGCGAAGCAAGTGATGAATACCAGAAGGACTATGATCGCCAGGTATATGGATCTAGTCTTCTGCCTGTTGCCATATCTGTTTGATGTCTGAATAAGCTTCCGAATGGTGCCAATGTAGCATCCAACTGTTACAACAAAAGGGATTAGGAAGAGCACAACAAATAGCGTGAGAAGGAAGGCTACCCAGGCTCCGAAGTTGGGCAGCATATCCCATTTGAGGACATCAAAACAGGTTATAATTCCCAATTCTTCCACTTCATAGGTCAAATCTGTGCTTTCTAGTGGGTAGAAGGCTAGTAGCAAGAATACCCACATACCTAGGCAGGCGGCCAGGGCATATCTTTTTCTTCTCCACTTGATCAACTTCATGGGATATACCACACCCATGTACCGCTCGATGCTGATACAGGTCATGGTCAATATGGAAGAATACATGTTGGAGTAGAACATCACGGTCACGAGGCTGCAAAGAGTTTTGCCAAAGATCCAGTGATTGTTTTTGATGTGATAAGAAATCTGGAAGGGAAAGCAGCTGGCCAGCATGAGATCTGTGATGCTTAGGTTGATCATAAAGATAACTGAAGGTGTTTTGGGTTTGATGTGGAAACAGAGTACCCAGAGCGAGAACAAGTTGCCAGGGATACTGATCAGAGCCACCAGTGTATACACAACTGGGAGGGTGATGGAGATAGCTTTATTCTGGAGCATTTCCAGCGTTTCAACATCCAGGTGGGATTTGTTTGTAACCATTATTCACAAGGGGGCTGTCGATCCCTGTAAGCCAGCAGGATCATATCATGAACATTTGGCTTAAAAACCTGGAGGACAAACGTCAAGAGAGAAAAGCAGTATGTCAAAACAGAAAGTAAGTACATACTTCTACTAATCTAAGAAAAATCCCTATGTAGTTTGACAGATTGTCTCTGAATGAAGTGAATACATTAAAATTATCTCCTGAAAACTCTCTTCTCCCTGGGAATCATGATAATGTTTTACTAGTCTAATTTTTTCCTTGCTTTGAACAACTACTTTTCCCCTGCTGAATGGCTTTCTGATACTTTCTGCAGTCTATATGTTGTCACACCTCTTATGTGATTGTTACATAAAGAAAATCACATATCACAAAATGAAATTAAATGGATGTCTGCATGAGACATAGAATCTGCATGAACTCTGTCTATCCTATCTACTTCTACTTTGTTTTTCCCAGTTGGAGAAAGGAAAACATGCAATCAATTATTCTTGGTATATTAATGACAGAAACAGAATATAAGGAAAACACCATGTATAATTGAGAACCAGGGACAGATTACAGTTGCTTGGACTGGTTTCCAGGCTGAAGGGACCAGGCTAAAGAAGTAGTAGGCCGCCTTGTAATAAAGAGAAAAGCCACTGAGTTTCAGTTTCTGCAAGATGTAAGTTACTTAAAAACATTCTGTTTGCATCTGTGTTGTTGGCATCACCCGTAATTCTGCAAAATTAGTTTCAGTTTTGCAGTTTTCAAGGCAAACCCATGCTTTCACTCTCTGGCCTATATAGATCTTTCTTGGCAGACACAATAGCTTATGGTTTAGCTTATTTATTTTATACAGTGTAGGAGCATTTAGCAGCTGCAAACGAGAACTCATGCCACAGTGATGAGCTACAAGCATGCGTGCTTACTTTCATGAAGCTGCAGGTAGAGGGATGCAGTTTCACAAAAGTACAGGGTCAAAGAAATGAAGAAATGGCAATGAATCATAGAAAGGCAGATGATAGAGCAAGAGCAAGCTCTACGAAGAGTCTCAGTATCGGCCTGAAAAGAGCACCAGGCCAAGCCAGATGGTAACTGGGCACATCTGTGCAGTTTAATAAAAGAGGGGCAGAGAGTGGGTACAGGCATTCACTCCTACTTGCGGGCTCTGGTCACCCACACTGTTTAATCCAAGCATTGCTTCCCAAGACACGCTTGCTGTAGGAGGTTAGATTAAAAAAACGTAGGTGCCAGTCAGTTGGTGTCACTTTACCTCAGATCTAGTTAAATAAGACCTTTTAATTTAATTGTGTGGTCATAGCTCATGAGCAGCGTAGCAGGTCGGTGCCTGGTGACCAGGTGACCAGCCCTTGGTGCTAGAAATAACCGTTCTAACAAAAACTGTGATTTCTGTCAGAGGATCTTACTGAATAAGTCGCTAGCCCTGTCACCAAATAACTCTTGATGAGGTCTGGCAAAGGTGAAGTCCCTACTGAAGGCTGTAGTGCAGTAGAGAGATACTCAACTCTAAAAATAGAGTGCAGATCCAGAAGACGCACAGCTGCAGCAGCAAGAACCTTAGTGGGGGCTAATTTCTGTTGTTTCTTGACCTGATAAATTTGACACAGTGCTTCAAATGTCAGCTAAAAATATTCAGTAGTGAGAGTCAGTATCAAACAAGTGATGTTAACAAGTGCTGCCAGTCTTTCAGGAACTTCTGGCTGAGCTGTTGGAAGTCCAGAAACAGGCACAAGAAAACAGGAATTGCTAAGACATCAGAAATGTGTTCCTAATATATCATGCACCAGACACAGAGCAAACATGTTCCAAGTAATGAGCACATCACATGATCACAACTGCAAAAACCCTTTTGAGGCAAATCCATGGTAGGTGAAATTCTGTTCTTGTCAGTGGAACTGTATCAAGAATGAAACTAACTCTTCAGTTTTCAGGAGAGCTTGAAAAAGCACTCTCTGACACTAAGCCCTTGGGAAAAAACCTCTTAATGCTCTTTATTTTAGCTTTTCCATCTATGACTAACTGTAGTAAATATCTATTAATGAACTCTATTGCCTCAAAAGTCCTTCTCAAGTGGTACCCTTTTTTGCCTAACGATCCTAAGCTTCCCAAAACAAACAGAATTTTAGTCTATATCAAAGTATTGACAGAACTCTAATAATAACCCTTTGCATGTGACAGACACTTTCTCTCACAGGCTAAGGGATCTCACCCCTAAACATTGTTCCTATAGAAATTGTTTGTACTTGGGAGGTAGGAGTATAGATGAAAATTTCCATTAAATCTGTCACACTGATCATAAAGCTTTTGAAAACCTCTTACGTTCATTTTTTGGGGGGGGTTATCATAAATGCATTTTCTTCTAAATTTGCTTTTTCTGAGAGCACATCCTGATAAGAAGGAGATTAAAAAAATCACATATAGATGCTGCAGTAGGCAAAACAGTGTCAGGATTCGTGGAGTGGCTCAAGGCAAATTTTATGCATATAAAACCTTAGCTGAGGGTTGATATTTTAAAATTATCGTGCAGCAAAGTTTCTCTTGCAGAGAATCTCTGAAAGCTCCACTGATTTGAATTGTGTTGGAAAACTGAAATGGAAAGGAAGCAACTCGTAAAATGTAAGGGGAATCTAATTCTAATCCTCATACAGGCTACTTTCTCACTTTATTTATGACATTTTCAAGTTAAACCACAAAAGACAGACAGAGACTGTGGTTGCAGTGGGGAAAGGACATAAAGTAACCCTGACCAAGATGAAAATATAAACACAGCATTAACTAAACCCAAGTAGACACAATAATGGGAGAAGTAAAGTACGGGGAAATGCTGCATCATAGTTCCATCAGCTTAATGTGGGCATTTAAAAAGCAAAATATCACAAGTAAGGGTGACTCAGAGCAGGAATTTCTGCTAGCCCAGGCTTTCCTGAGCAAGGAATTCAGGATTAGAGCCCCAGAAGGATTTGGCAAAAAGAAAGGCAAAGTTGGAAGGAGGGTTTTCTGTACTGCACATTTCCCTGAGATGCTATTTGCCTTCAAGAATTACTTGCAGCAACAATCTTGTGTGCTTTGCATGCCCCCTCCTCCCCTGCAGAAGACACTCAGGAAGCATTGTGTCATTCTTCCTTTGCTCCTTGTGATTGACATCTTCCTTACTGGAAACCATGCCAAGGGGACCTCCCCTTTTGGAGAGCTCTTCTAGGCCATGAAGTCTGTTGCCTTTCAACCCCTGATCAGGAAGTGCCTACATTTGGGAGGCACTTTTGTTTTACTGATGGTAGTGTTCCACAAGTGTAATCCATAAAAATACAGTTCTGTTATAGAAATATCCTTGTTAGAAAGACATGGTTTTATTTTGGGGAGAGCTATATTCAAACTGTGACAGACAAATGGCCATACAGCTAGACTGAAACAAGAACTCAGTAAGAGCTCTCCAAATGAGAAGATCAAGTCTTACTGCCCTTTACGTCAGTCCTCAAGCTTCTAACACAGGAAGAGAAATGTTAAGCTTTTGTGCTTGCTTCATTTCTGAAACATTTACTGGGCGGATATATTTCAGTTTTGTATTAAGTACTAAGAGCACCTATAGCCTCTGGAGTAACCCTTGCTAAATCCAGGCAGGATTTTTTTGCTCCGCTTGCACTCACTGGCTCATGGCACTCTGGACAGAAAGCTCACTTGGAAATTCAGTAGTGCCAGTTTTTCATCTCAGCAGTAACCATAAGCAAAGGTGACGGTTCCTTAGTGTCTTGTTTGACAGAAGTGGGGATTCCTTTCCTTCTCCTTTGACAAAAGATGACAAATAAAATGGATATACTGAAAATCGAACAATAAGAAACTAAAAGAGGACTGTGTTATTTCTTTGCCATGCAAGAGTAGTGGTAGAGTTGTGTCTATTTTCAGCACACTACTATGTAACACTGATGTGTTTCCTCCCTTACATCTATTCTCTTCCTGTTGTTGATGGCAAATGCACCCGTGAAGGAGACTGAAAAGCCAAATGAAAGCCAGAATAACCACTTTATAACAAATTTTGTGATCAGTTTTGTGATTTGAGATGGAAAAATTTATTTCAAAACATATCATGCATCAGAAAGCCTTTCAAAGCCGCTTCTGTTTTGTCATTTTTGGTTCACTACCTGTCAGAAAGCTACTGTGTTGAATAAAAAGGTCTTATTTCATAAAGTCTTTGATACTGTTACACTTTTGGAAAGACACCCTTCCAGATGAAGAATGTAGGATGGCTTGTTTCAGATTATAAGAAAAGCAAACTGAGATGCAACTTCAACTCAATTACAACGAGATTCAGAATGAAGCAAAATGAAAGAACAGATTTTATTGTAAGCGCTTCAAGAAATCATATTAACAGTTTTTAATAAACACAAATGTGGCAAAAGAATGTATTTAGTCTTTCATGATGAGATTGCATTTTTTAATATTTTTTTTCCCCTTGCTCTGTTTAACACTATTACAAAGCAATAACAAGACCTAAAGGCTAGGATAGATTATATCTACCTAAATTTAACTAAAACTGGTGAAAATTTAGGGATCCTCAGTTTGCAGTGTTCCTGCTGTGGATTCAACCCCTCCTGGCCTGTCTGAATTGCTAGTGAGATGAAAGAATATTTAAAAATAACAGAAAACATACACTAAATTTCTGTTGTAGATGGGGTATGAGAAGGAGCCAAGAAGGCAAGGAGCCGGTCATCTGAAGTTGTGGTAAAAGTGGCAAACCCTTTGATATTTCTATAGAGTGAGGGTTTTTAATATGAGGAACAAGAAGAAAAAGTGCCCTTTTCTAACACATCTTGGTTATTGTTCCTAAAGCATCATTGATGTGATTCAGAGAACTACTTCTGCAAATGTTCAAGTTCACCAAACTGAGGAATGTAAATGAGTGCATCTCTGATTGTGTCTTCCTTAAACTGAACACGGGCTTTACTGAAAGAGGCTGTAGGTTTTGTCTGGATGGTTCTTTCTCACCCTTGCAATAAACTTTCATGCAAATTTTAGCTTGCAGGGTTACATCTCTACATCTCTAAAAGCCAAGAGTTTGGTTCACTC